GCATGCTTCAGAGAGCTTACCTGGCTTGTGAGATAGGTTAATTACATTACAGACTGTTGAATGCCTGCTATGCCTGGCAAGCACCTTGAGAGCAGGGAGTATCCTTAATACTTAGCACTAGGTCTGGCCTTTGGTGGCCCTTGTTGAATGAATGGAACTGGATATGGAAGGATGATCTGGGGTGAAGAGGCGAAGGGAAAGATCTGACTCACCCCGTCTGACCCTAAACAAGAATGCCCCATGAGAAGCTGAGGACTCTAACACCCCCTAAATTTTCATTTTCCCTGGGATCCTTTGCTGCTGGTCTCCCCAAATAATATGTTCTTTGAAATGGTAATATGGTCTTTTATAATTTGTGTGGTCCCTGGGCTCACTATGGAATGTTTCTCTTTCTGTGCAAACGGAGAATTGGCAAATGGGGCATAACAATATGTTGTCTGCTCCTTTAAAATCTGCACCTGTTACTTCCCAGGGGTAGAGAGACAATTATTTTCTCTAGAAGAGAGTACAATTGGTGGAAGGACAAACCCATTGTCTAGTAATGGAAGCAGCTTTAATTCAAGCTAGTTTCGAAGATTTTTTAATAGAAACTCCAATCTGTTTTCTTATGCTAAACATAAAAATTGCAGTGTATTTTTCTCATCAAACAATAATTAACTTTAGTGCTATTAAAATATATCATACAGGGCCTCCCCGGTGGCGCAGCGGTTGAGCGCTGGGTTGCAAAGCTGCCTGCAGCCTCTGCAGCCGGTTCGATCCCCGGCTGCTCCCCGGCCACCGGAGGAGGGTCCCACATGGCGAGCAGACCTCTCCTGCCGCCCGCTGCTCCCCTCAGCAGTGTACTTCGGTCCTTCTGCCTGCTCTGCTCCCCGCTCTGGCTCTGGTGAATTCTCTCACCCTCCCGCGCTTCTGACTGTACCCAGTGCATGTATAAACCAAACAAACAAACAAATAATAAATAAATAAATAAATAAGACATGCCTCTAGAAAATTAAAATATATCATACAAAAGACAGTGTATTGTTTTGGTAGCACCATGAATTTAATACTTGAATGGAAGCACAGTTTTAGTAATGCATTAAGAGTACTCTGAATCTCTCCTTCAGCATTACCCGGGCTTGACACAGTTTTACATCCCTCTTAATTAGCTTATAGAAAGAGATTTGCTTCAAGTCATGTACCCATGTAATAAAGGTCCTTGTTGCCATATTTAGAGGACTATGTCCAACATAAATTCCACTCCCAAATCTCTTTCTCGTAATGAGTCTCCATCGACATAATGAGTTCCTTGGAAGGAAGGCATTGTGTAAATTAAAAATACTAATGAGTCATAATGATAATGAATTATTTTCCTTATTACTGGGAGCAGGACTAACCTTGGGCACATTTTCCAGTAGTTGAAGGTGCCTTCCCTACACCCAGGCCTGCCCTCTCCTGGGATGTTGAACCTTTAATATCCTTTTTTTTTTTTCCCTTTTCTCCCTCATCAAAACTGAATCTCCCTGATCCTAGCTAGGTGGTCTTAGGGGGAAGACTGAGCTGGTTCACACTGTGAGTGACTGAAGTCCCTTCTAACCATTTCCACCAATGTCCTGCCTGTGCCCTTCCAGGGATAGTCTTATACTAAGAGGTAGGATTAGCACAGAAAAATTGGGCTTTCTAAGACAAGTCAAGTGCTTTGGGAGTGTTTGGTTACAAGTAACAAAAACACACTCAAACCAACTAAACAAAATTAATAAATTGGTGGGCTCCGAGGGCAACCTCGTAGGACTCGGAGGCAGGAGTGGCTGGGCTCTGGGTAGTTCAGGGACAGGACCAAGAGCTGTGAGAATCAAGGTGAATGCTTCTGTTTCTCTGGGGCTGTTGCTGACACACTCGCAGCAGGTTCCCTGGGCTCTCCCTGACTGCTCTTGCTGCTTTTCTATGAACCTGGGCCAAATGTGGCTGCGCTGAGTCCATCTGCCCTCAGTTCAAGGTTTCCATTTCCACACTCTTGGGAGGAGTGTTCAACTGGCACAGCCTGGGTCAGGTGTCACTCTGAGTCCAGTCTGCTCTGCCCCTGGGGTCAAGGCCATATGGGAAAACAGTTCCTGACTCAGTGTAACGATTCAGTTGTGTATTTATTGTTGTTATAAACAGCATGCAGGGGCCCATCCTTAAGAAGAAAGGACAGAACACATTTCCACCAGACTGAGGGGGAGTTTGCTTAATTCTGCTGGGGGCCCAGAATGTTAAGGGCTTTGGGGCAGGAGAGTGACATTGGATCATATGTTAACAAGAGGCCTGTAGGATTTGTGTGAGCTGGACAAGGAGCATCCTGAGGGAATGATGCCTCGCAAACAATGGTGCACTGCCCTACTCCCTTGGCACTGGAGTGGGTGGGGACTCCTCGTGGTTTAGTGACTCCAACAAGATTTGCCATCTGTTCCCCACTTTGTAGGGAATTTCTGGGGACTTGGGCAAGTCACTGCATCTTTTTGAGATTCTCTTAGATCCCAGTCTTTCGTTGAGAAACTGTACACATGTACAATACACACATATATACACATGTATACATATATTATTTATATATTTTATGTTGTTATTTTAAAGATGATTATTTGTTGGTCTGAAAAGATTGAGGGTACAGAAGGGCCCAAGAAAGCTGACTGGGAGGGTGGAGGATTAAACACTGCAGAAAGATGTTCATCTCTGTCTCAGGGAGGAGGCACGCCTGTAGGGTGTGAGCAGTTACATATGTTCTTTGGAATGATAGAGCTGTGGCCTAGGACAAAAAATGTATAGAAACACATGTCTTAGTCTTAGATCTATTCCCTTGGGAGGTGGTGGGTGCTGGGAGAAGAATGAGTACGGGCCTGTTTTGTGCACTTAAAAAAGATTGAAAAATCCCTGTAAGTCTTATCATAAAAACCATAGAGTTTCTCAAGGAGTTTTTAAAAAACACCTACCACCTGGCCGTGCTTTGGATGAGAGAGCAGTTGGTGGGCGAGTGGGCCCGTCTTTCTTTCTGCAGGTGACTCTGTTAATGGCTAAATATCTCAGGGGCTGAAGCAGAAGACAGAGCACAGTCATCTCTTGGGCAGGGGAGAGGGGCAGAGGGGCTGGCCCAGTGCTCCTTCACCCTGGGGAAGGGCAGCCCTCAGCCTGGCCCGGCCTTCAGGAGGCAGCTGCGGCCTGCTGTTTGGAGCCTGCTTCCGGTTCTCATTTCCTTTACTCAAAGGAGTCATTTATGACAATCCGTCATGGCAGGCTGATGGGGCAGAGAGCTATTGGCAGAAGGCCTTTCTACTTGCAAATTAAATCACAGAGAAAGCCACCAGCAGTGAATACAAAGAAAGCGTTCAAGGCCACTGGGTGGAAGAGAACAGCTGTTAGAGACCAAGTGTTCACCAGTTTTAACAACCCGTAAGTGCTAACGAGGCAGGTACCTCCAAAAATAAATTGGGCCATGGACAACTAAGAATGCTGTCTGGGGTGAAAGTCATGACCCAGAGGTACAAATGATAACAGAAGTAGGATGATAACCACCAACATGCACAGGGGGCTTTCTGGTACACACACACTATTATTTCACCACAAAACCCTCTGGTCCTAGAAGGTGGGCTGGCCAGCTAGTAATTCCCTTCCAGAAGTAAAGTAACCACAGCTGAAAACACGTTGGAGCCTTGCTCACAGTCACAGTGCTGGTAGGTACCAGCCAGGGCTCAGATCCAGGTCCCCTCCCCCTGCCAGTGTCCTCTCCATGAAGTCAGTTGCTCTGGGGGTGGGGGTGGGTGAAGGGCCAGGGCCTGGATACGACTAGGTGGGGAACAGAGCTGGTTAAGTAGAAGCTCCAGATAAAGAACCCAGGGTCCTGCCACTGGGAGCCCTTAATGTTTCCCACCTCACTTCACATAGGGGTAAGGGACTTTGATTTAAATTACCACCAGGTAACATTTATCCATGATTTAAACATTGCAGGTAGCCATGTGAATATAGAAGTAATAATTCCATCACTCAGAGATAATTTTTAACATGTTAGTGCCCCCCCAATATCACCTTGGCAGATATTTTCATTTTGACACATTTTTCCTCACAAAAAAGTGGAATTGTGTTGTTCCTGCTGTTTTGTAACTTCTCATTCTATGTATTACAAATATCTTTCGCGTCAAATGTATGTCAGGGATATTTTTCTCATTTCATTTAAAATATTATGTTTCATGATTACAGAAATAATCATAATATTCCTTGTGCATTATAAAAACATTAAAATTCCAGTAGTACAGAAATGTATAGCAAAGGAAGAAAACACTTTGTTTAACCCCACCCTTGAGGCGTAGTCGATATTACTAAATTTTCCATTTCCTATTCTTACTTTCTCTGCACGAGTAGACACAACGAACACAAACGTGTATATATGAGTTTTTCCCCACAAAGTAGGTGCATAGAGGGCTCTACAGCTTGCTTTTTCCCTCCCTGAAGTGTGGACATCCTTTCCTCTCAGTCCACAAGGTTCTGAGCGTCTTTGTTCCAATCCTGGGGTAAAAAAAACCTGAGACCGGAGAGGGAATCAAATAGCAAGCAGGGCCTCCCTGGTGGCGCAAGGGAAGACGCAGCTCTATGAAGCTCTCCACAGCCTCTGCAGCATGAGTTCAATCCCTAGCCAGCCAGGGAGCTGCCCACATGGCGCAGTGGACCTCTCCTGACTCGCCTGCTGTTCCCCTCAGCAGTGTATTTAGTAGATCTGCCTGTTCTGCTCCCCACTCTGTCTGGTCAATCCTCTCACCGCCCCCCATACCTCTGGCCTGTACCCCAGTTCTTGCATGCTTAAATAAATCTTTAAACCCAAAAAAAACCAAACAGAAAACAGTAGCAACACGTGCTATTTGCAGCACTTGAATTGAGGGGAGTCTGCAGCCCAGGTAGCGCTCCCCACTTGCCAGGCGATGGGGGAGACCCGCTACCTCCTCTGGGCCCAGACAGTGCTGCAGGCTCCTCACCCACCACTCTGTGCCTTGCAGGTGTCTACATTCTCACCACCGCCCTGATCCCTGTGCTGGAGAAGGCACACGACCCCAGAGTGGTGAGTTGACATTTGGGATATCTTGTAAATATTGACAAATGTTCTGTAAATAAAGTTTTGTTCCTGGTGTGAAGTCGGTGGTCCAACGTGTTTGTTCCAGCTATTTGAAAGCGGCCATTTTGCCCACATTCAAATTCAGCCTGAGGGCCCCCAGGGTTTCTGCTTAATAATCTAAAGTCCAGCATTGATGCACTGGCCGGGGCAGTGTTGGGGTGGGTCTGGAGTGGGGCTGATGGAGACTGGAGGACCCAGGTCAGGTGAAGCTCATTCCTGGCTGCTTCCCAAAGGACCCCCATGCTGTGAGGAGCTGCTGCCCCAGGGGCTAAATGGTCTTTCTGACTGGAGAGAGACTGCATGGGAGCCCACTCCAGATCCTGTGCCCGTGGCTCTTGCGGGCACTGCCCCCACCCTTTCTCCTGCCTCTGGTCGTGGTTGGGTGGCTGCTGCCCACACGTCACCCACAGTTTCTCTGTGCAGGGAGGGAGAGGCACAACTGTGCAAAGCTCCCAGCCCTGGCTGCAGGTTTTCCCTGCCAGTATGTCTTCTGAGGGTTGGCAGAGCCCCGGGAAAGGGACCTTCCAGGAGCAGGGCTAGCTGTGGGAGGCTGCGTTTCCTGGAGAAAACTCTGCCTACAGGGGCAGGGACAGGCTGAGGGAGCTGGTCCTCTCCGACAGGGTTAACAGAACAGAGAAATCAGGATGACTAGCCCCCACCCTCAGGTGTCCGGTCCTAATTCCTGAAACCTGTGAATATGTCACCTGTACAAGGCAAAAGTGACTTCAAAGATACGGCTGAGTTAAGGATCTTGAGGTAGGGAGTGTATCCTGGGTTATCCAGGTGGGCCCAAAGAGTCTTGGGACCCAACAGGAGGAAGAGAGATGTGACGAGGGGCGCAGGGAGGATTGTGCCACCGCAGACCAGGGACACAGCGTCTGTGGAATCTGGAGAAAGCAAGGATCGCCGAAACCCGCAGAGGGAATGCAGCTCTGCTGACCCCTGGATTTAGCCCCACAAAACTACAGGACCTGGGGTGGGGGTGGAGTCCACAAAGCCTGTATGGAATTAGCTTTGGGATGGCCTTTCCCCCCTAACATTCTGACTTCCAGAACTGTCAGGGAGCCCCTCGGTGGTGCTCTGAGCCACCAAGTTTGTGGCTGTTTATTGTACAGCAACAAGAAAGCAATACACTACTCGGCAGAAGAGGAATGGATGGGTGTTACAACGTTTGTTTATAAATTTCCTTTGCATTTATTACAGATAACAGTCTCCTCAGGAGGGATGTTGGTTCAGAAATTGAGTATCAGTGATCTGCAGTCAGAAAGGACAGCCTTTAATGGAACTATGGTCTATGCACAGAACAAAGTGAGTGGTTTTCTCAGGGCTGCATTTCATTCTTGCCACATAGACTCTTCTCCAAGGGGCCTGACTCTGGTTACACATTCATCTGGATCTTAGTGATTCACAGCAGCATCTGGAGATGTTCCTTGGCCAGGAGGCAGTCGTAGCTCTGCTCAGACTGGGGCCTACCTTTAGTGCCCTCTTGAGAGAAGCCACGAAAACTGCCACCTCGTCTCGGTGTTTATAGACCCATAGAGGTAGTGGTGAGAGCTGGTGATGCCTGAACAGAAGCCCAGCGGAGTGTCCTGACCAGATCCACTCTGAGAATAAGGATGGGGTGCACTTCTCTCTCCTTTGGGTGACCCCCCTCCATGAGTGAACAGATGCCACAGTGGGGATTCTGGGCTCCCCAGACTCAGTGTGAAGGGCATGCATTTAGTCCTGAAAAAACAAAGGCAAGATCCTGATCCATGCTTGGTCTTAACATTTTTTTTGTATATGTGCTGCCCAAGCAAACACTGCTTGGTCTTAACAGAAAGGCTAGTCTTGCCGCTATGTCTCAGCTATAGCTATTTTAAAAAGCCTGCTGTACAGCGCCCCCATGTACAGTTCCTGCTCCTAGACTCACCCGATGGTGCTCCCTGCTGTTTGTGAAGCTGTGGCATTCATCAGCTCGCCGTGGTGGTGGTGTCCGCCTCTGCGGAGCACCCTGTCCAGTGCTTCTGCACCCTCATGCCTGCCCGTGTGTGCCCGGCTTTTGCTCACTTATCTCCAAACCAAATCCGGGGGCGTTACTTCTCATGACCCCAAATCTGTTCATTTTTAAACAATGTTTGCTTCCCCCCACCCAAGTGTAGTCCCCATAAAATTTCCTTCGCCCATTCACCTGTGTTTGCAAAGCATGATCATAGCACCTAGGGGTGGGCAGTGGTCTCAGTTGCCTGAGGTTTGAATGGAGGTATTTGATGGTTTTAAAAATAATGCAACTGCTGCATTCTTTAAGCACCTCCAGGGTGTTCCCCACACTGAATTCACATGTTAATGGACCTTCACTCAGTGCCACCCAGTGCTGGGGGTGGCCTCTGCCCTGACTGAGCTTACGGCAGCAAAGGTTCCAGTCCCACCAGCAATTTGTGAAGAAGGAACATCCTTGCACTGAGATTTCATTTCATGTTGTGTGGAATCCAGGAAAGTCCAGGCCCCGTGCAGTTTGCTGCTTTCCTGCGTGCACATGCACACCTCCTGAAAAGGGACAGGACGCAGCACTGGGCTCTGTCAGACCTGCTGGAGAGGAGATCTGTGCACTGTGCACAGTCCTGGGCAGGGCTGTGGCACCCGTGTGCCCACAGCCAGTGCCTCCCTTCCCACCTGAGGGATGCCTCCTCTCTCCCATCTGCTCACCCTCACCCTGTCCAGAGGCAGCAGGTGGTTCTGACCGAGCGCTGGGCTCAGCAGCATCCGGCCATCCACTTCTCATCAATGCATCCTGGCTGGGTCGACACCCCAGGTAGGTCGTAGCGTTTAATTTCCGCGCCGCTTATGTTTCATCTAAAAATATCTGAGCAGCCGCAGGATTGAATCTCCCCAGGAATGACCTAAAACCAGTGTAATGAGGACTAAGGATCGGCTTCATTTCCATTTGAGAGGGGCAGTGTGGACTAGAAAGGAAAAGCTTCCTCCTGGGGCAGTGCTTTTGTGTTCAGCTGCCTGTATGCAGCCAAGGGGTGCTGGGTGGAGGTGTGCTGGGGGGCTGGAGTGGGGTGCACTGGGGTGCCACAGCCAGCAGCCTAGTGACAGAGGGAGGTGGTGGGTGTTGGCTTTCCCTCCTTTGAAGGAATGAGCAGGGGCTGGAGGATGTCAACAGGAGACCCAGGCCGCCTCACCACTGCCCAAGTTCCTGAAAACAATGAGTGCACAAAGGTAAATGATAGCCACTAAGGGCATGTCTGGAATGATCTAGAAGCATGTTGGAACAACAGGGAAGGAGAGCAGAACCCTCTTCTGGATCTGCTGCTGCCAACTCGTGACCTCAGCAGGGCAGATCTCTTGGGCTTCCTGCTGCAGCTCTTTTCCCCTCTCCAAACAAGGGAATTGCAGTCATAGCAGACACCCCACAGTAACCCACGGTGCCGAGGCTGCCCTCAGTGCTGCTTGCGTCCTCACAGCCCCGAGGTGGGCACTGCTTTTATACCCATATACAGAGGAAGAAACTGAGGTGTGGGGGGCCAGGACCATTCCAGCTAGGCCTGTCTGCAGGTGCTCTCCCTTCTGAAAGCCAGCTAGCTGGAAGCTTCAACTTCTGTATGTACATCCTTGGAATTCATCCTAAGAAATAATTAGGGATATGAAAACCAGGTTGTTCATCACAGCACTGGATAGGAGAGTAAGGGAATAAATTATTGAACACCTGTACAAAAGAAATCTGTTCAGACCTGCAAACCGTGTGACTAATGTCAGTGGGGAAGGAAATGTCTGTACTATATCCTTAAACGAAGGTATCGGGTTCCAGAATAGCACATGCCGTATCATCCTATTTTTGTTACACAACCCCCATAGAAAGAGGTGTATGTTGGTGCGGCGTCGCATCCCACGGAGACCTGGCTTGGGGACTTGGCACAGATTAGCCCTCTGATGCAGAGCTGAGGCAGTTTAGCAGTCTCCTGCTGTCAGTGCAAAGAGGGTGTTCTCAGCAAAGCACACTAGGTAGGAGAGACAAAGACTGGAGGCGTCGGGGAGTATGGCTTCTGGATTCTTCTCAGTTCCTAACGGGAGACAAGCTTGGCCCCTTCTAACCAGGGTGAGCTCCATGGGGCCATGGAAACCCCCCAGCCTCTTGTGTCCCCAACATCAACTTGGATGCTTACAGAACCTGTGTTTAGCAAGCCCATCCCCAGCCCTGACATCTGGGGTAGGAGCAGTCTGCCATTTGTGCTCACAGGCCGCAGAGCAGTGCCTGGGCCTCTTGGCCTGTCTGTGGACACATGTCCTCTCTGAGGGCCATGACAGAAGGTTTCAGATTCCTTTCCTTTGCTCATCAGTAGTTCTAATTTTGCACAATAATAAGTATTGCTTCTGGAAAAAGAAAAAGGTTATTTGTAATTTTAAAATGAGTGCCTTAGATGAGATGATCCTTTCTACTTCCAAAATCTTTTAATCTCATTAGGGCTCTCAAATGTTGTTTTCTCTGGTTTCTTTCTCTCCCTTGGCTTCACGAGAGAATGATTTTGCTTCTCAATGTGCTCACTCTGGAGACACTTTGTTCTCTGAGGACTGTGGGCAAATGGGGGTGTAGCCTGCAACTTATTCTGGGTTGCATGCGAGGAGCTGCAGGCTGGCAGCCAGGCCTGGGGACTGGACACTAGGTGAGGAAACTGAGACCCAAGGTGTGGGGTACAGGGGTTGAGGCAGGGAGCTTGCTCTCCTCCTCTCAAAGAAGAAAACACTACAGCAATCCAAGACACCCCCAGCCAGGCTCCTGAGAGAGGTTAAACATTTGAGAGCTGGCTTACCCAGGAGGCAGCAGTTTGAGAGTTCAATCCCCTCTTGGCCTCAGTTCAGCCCACACCTCATGGAGAGACTTTTTTAGGATAGAAAAGAGTGCTGCTGGGGTTCTGTGGGTTTTGCTGTCAGGGGAGGGGCTGGTCTGGGTGCTGGTATCATGTGGCCTGGGGGACCTGGATCCCATATACTCTCAGGCTCTGGGGAGCAGCACTTTCTACCTAGGCTGCTGGGCACCCCCTCAAGACTTTGCAACAAGGCTTTTGGAGTCAATTCTGAAATAGCTTGGATAAATGCTCTTTTGAAGTAGAAAGCATTTTATGATTTCATTCATCATCATCATCATCATCATCATCATCATCATCATGATGCCACACACACTTGCAAATGCTGTCCTGTGTCTGGCTTCTTGCAGCTGTGAGGCAGTCGATGCCGGGGTTCCATGCCAGGCTCAAGGACAGGCTGCGCTCCGCGGCCCAAGGGGCAGACACCGTGCTGTGGCTGGCCCTCAGCTCTGCCGCCCCCCTGCAGCCCAGCGGCCAGTTCTTTCAAGGTGACTTCCTCCCTACGTGTGAAAGCCACTTACACCTTCTTTCCCCAAAACCACAGTGGGGCCTCTTGATGAGGAGGGCTCTCCTCTCCATGAAACTTGGGGGGTGGGAATATCCCCCTCCCTATGATTGTGCCCAGAGAGAGATGGTTCCTTCAGCCATTTGGGGTGTTTTGTGAGGTGCTTCACCTCTGATGTTGCAACCCCCCCCCCACCTTATTGATTTTTCTAAACTCAGTGGGTCCCTGGGGGACAAAAGGGCTCAGATTACGACCCTGTCATCAAATTCCCGGGCAAGGCCAGGTCCTGTGGACATTGGCTTATCAGAGATGGACAGTCTGGGAAGCTGCCCAAGCCCAGGGCATGGAAGCTGCCCAAGGTACTTCACGAGGGGAGTAGTTTTTACTAGGGATCCCGAGGGCAAACTCTGAATGAGGCAGGCTGGGAGGTGATGGAATCAGAAGGGCACCTCTCTCTGGTTCTTTTCCCATCGTCAGTACTCACCCTTGCTTAAGCTAGGGGATTGCAATGGCGAGGATGCTCAGATCTTCTCCCCTGGATGCCACCAGCTAGTTCTAGGCCACACCCAGTCCCCAGATCTCACCCAGCTAGCAGGTGGCAAGAGAGCCTCCCTCTGCCACCTGCAGGATGTCTGTGACACCATCTGTGGGGCCTTTCAAGGCAGACATGGCATTTCACTCCTGGGGTGGTGAAGCTGCTCCTAGGGCCAAGCAGCTGCAGGCACAGAGGCCAGATTATACCGCTGTGGGGCTCACTTCTTTGTTCCTCTCACTTTTAGATCGGAAACCAGTTCCTACACACTTGCCTCTTGCTAGAACATCCTCCCTACCGGCTGAAGAGGAGAAACTAATGGAAGTCCTGGGAGAGCTGGCTCAGAGATTTAAATAGCCTGGCAACCCGAGGCGGGACCAGAATGGCCTTAGAAACGCAATGTGGTGTGGAGTAGGGGCAGTGAGCAGGCTCCACCTCCCTCCCTGAAGATGCCACCCCAGCTGTGAGGAACCTACAAGGAACGGGAACTTTTGTTTTAAAATAAATATAGCTGGGTCTGGGAACAAGTTTCCTTCAGCTTCCGCAGCAGCATCTTTTCCTGTGTACATCTGTTTTGAGGATGTAGCTTTCTTAAAAAGTAGATGTTTAAGATGACCCCAACTGCCAGGAAACGGGTGCGAGGAGGAACAGATGTGCCGTGTGTCTCTGTGCACCAAGTGGGGGGCTCTCCACTGCCCGTGCTGCCCGTCCCTCGGAGCAAAGCATAACCAGGGGACAGTGCCTGTTCACAAAAACAAATGACGTGAGGCCTAGTTTACATTTACTTAAGATTAGGAGTGGCTGCAACAATGCACCGGGCATTCTGGTGCCACAGTTTGATAAAACTTCTAAATTAGACCGCTCAACCTCTAAGTGATGCCAGGGAAAGATGTAACAAAATCAGTGGACAGATTTAGAGCATTCATTCTTGATGTTCAAGGTGACAAACTTAACTAATCACCCACGGCAGAGAAAAACCCAGGTGGGCGCCGCTCAGCCAGTCACATGGTGCATGTCCTTAGAGGGGCTCAGAGCTGGGTTCTTGTCAAGGAGTCCCAAAAAAGGTGCTTTCTGGAGGGTGCTGCCTGCAAGGTCAGTGAGCCTGGGTGCCTTTTGACTGCATCTCTCCTTTTCGGGAGAAAAGCAGGGACCTCTGAGACTGGGGTGCCTGAAGTTGCTTGGGCACAGGTCGTCTGGGGGAGGGTGGGAGGGATGCCACCAGGGGCAGCAGGCTTGGTGCAAAGGGCAACCAGCTACTCAGCCCACCGGCTGTTAGACATTCTGTAGGTCATTGATTTCTTTCCCCTATATTCTTAGCCATAAAATGGGCCTCATTAAGTTTTAATTTTTATTTATTTTTTAAATTCTAGAAACAATTATTATTTTTTTATTTATTTATACAAGCACTGGGTACAGTCAGAAGCACGGGAGGGTGAGAGAATTCACCAGAGACACAGCAGGGAGCAGAGCAGGCAGACTGACGAAGCACACTGCTGAGGGGAGCAGCGGGTGGCAGGAGAGGTCTGCCGCGCCATGTGGGACCCTTGCAGGCGGCCAGGGATCGAACCAGCGCTGCAGAGGCTGCAGGCAGCTTCGCAAGCCAGTGCTCAACCGCCGCGCCACCGGGGAGGCCCGGCGTCCTGGTTGTATTTGCCCTGAAGTCCTTTATCTCACATGGAAAATTTATGAACCATGGCTAAAGCTGACTAGTGAAACATAAAAATATGTAAAGCACTACATGGCCACAGCCCACATCTGCTGTGCTTAGAATTGGGGGTGAATGGAGGTTCACCTCTCTCTGCAGACTGCAGCTCTGTTTGGGGTCTAGATAGGAGGTGTGGGAGCGCCCCAAACACTTGCCACGGTTTACTCAGAGTTAACCCTAAAGCCGGTCTTACACAGTCACGTTACAGCTCGCTAATAGCAACGATGGGACCACAGGTGCAGGAACATTTCCACAGAGATTTATTTTAAACCATGGAGGCAACTTTGCATTGAGTCTTTTACATCGGTAATGGCTACATGTACATTTCAGTTAGAGGGAAGCACAGTGGGAAAGTGAGCAGAGTTTAAGAACATTCACAACATTCAGCAGCATTTGAATGTAGAACTGGATACAGACATGTTAATGTAAGAAACTCTTGCTCAATCCCATCTAATCACATTCAGGAAGTCAATTTCAGAACATTTGGTTTGGTTAGTGGACTCTAGAGGCAGAGAGCATGGCAAAGGCCAGAGGAAATCAGCTAGAACCACATTTGAGAAATCTGTTCCAACGTCCAGCTTCCTACATTCTCAGTCTGACTCTTGGAGAATCTGCTCATTTCAAAAGAAGGAAAAAGGATCTCCATAAAGTGATGCCCGCTGCAGTCAGGTTCTGATGAGGTTGCAGACTGACAGGTGTGCAGAATGGAGTCCACGTCCCTGGTTATGAATCAAGTGGTAGGCAGGCACGAACATGGGGCTAGCACCTTCCCCGTTGTCCAGTTAATGACAGCTTTCGTACACTTCATATATTTTTGTATTTTTTGCAGAATGACAGTAGACTGAAAGTCACTTAAAAAGCAAGGCAAATGGCGTAAAATACCGTATGTGAGTACAATGGTTAGCAGCTACACAAATATGTGGGTCCATGCTTCCTACTGGCGTATGCTACAGACATAAGGAGGCCGTCCATTCAAAAGGGAAAAAACAAAAACAAAAATCAAGTGTATAGAAATACTTTTTAAAAATCTTTCCTTTTTTGTGTTACAGTTCACTCTCTCATGCTTCCCCAAGAACCAACAACAAAAAATAACAATCACAAATATCAAGGAGAGATTATAGATCTAAGCTTTAACTCAACCTGCTGTTTCTGGACATCTTTTTGTTAAAAAAATCAGCTACACTGTTTGACTCACAGAGGTGAATATTTTGAGGTATCTATTTTTCATGAGATGGTATCATGACTAACTTCCATCTTCACTATCTTTTTAAAACCTACCTGGCTCTAAACGGAAAAATGCAGGAAGCAATTTACTTGCTGCGACAGAAGACAAAGGCAGTGAGATGTGCTCCTTTTTACCCAGGTTGGCCATGTGCGCACTGTTCTTTGATAATGGTCAGGCTGACCCAGTGTAGACAATATTCATGGAATCACAGGGCTGACGGATTGGAAGGCAACTGAAGGATGGTCACTGAATTCAACCCATACTCAGGCCTTAACCTCTTTTCCACGTCTCTAAAGGGGCTGCTATCTCCATTCTCTTAAAAAATTTCCCAGCATAGGAAACATAAAAGCAGAATTCTATTCCAGTTTTGCAAAGATGTTTGGACTGTGCCCTTGTGTGTGAGGCCTAAATAGATTTCTTGGTGGAAATGATAATGTGTAAAGGCAAAATTACAAACTAAAAAACCCAAGGGTTGGTAAGTATACAGTTCTTGGTTCTAAAGTTGAACTAAAGCTTCAAAGTGAAGACACATCCTGAATTAAGTTATGGACGTGGTATACTAGGGGAATGAAAGAAAAGGCAAGTGGTATAAAAGCAAGACCTAGGGACACCGGACACCCCACCCAGCAGAACCAGGTCTCCAAGGGGTGCTTGCCTGAGCCCTTTTTTTTTTACTATCACTGAACTGAGAAAAATGTTCCCTCCCACTTGGTGAGTCCCACTGTGAGGAGGAGCTATAGGTGTCCCAGTGTGCTGAAATGCTCCATTACTTAAAGAATGATTTAAGGCAGAGAAGGATATGGCGGGTAACAGCTTATGTACCCATGGTCTTGCACTGTGTATTCGTTTGATGCTGTAGCTGTCTAGGGCAATCTTGTGCCACATCACAAGGGCTTTCTTTATTCAAAGAGGAGCAGCTGAGCCTGGCCCACCTATGTAATTATAGAATTAGTATGTACATTCTTACAGACCAATCTGGAATGATTTATGGCCCCACCACCTATAGTGAGGGGGCTGTTCATCCAGAAAGTGCAAAAACTGGCTGCCAGGGGTCATTTTAAGGTAACAATTTTAGGCATTTCTAGAGCACTTGATAATCTCTGGGAAGTCAACTTGCCAGCAGTTCCCAAGCTCCAGGCTGATACCAGATTTTAGAACCTTTGTTTATGCTGCTTCTGCAGCCTGAACAGTAATTCCCTGACTTGACTTACTCCTAACTCACCCTCTGACACTCAGCTCAGAGGGCCTGTCCTCTGTGAGGAACAGGGTGAGGAACTCTGGGCAGCTCGTGGGGGCACCTCGCACAAGTCTTATCACTGAATTTACCAAATGTACTGACAGGATCTATCTTGTCTGTGTGGTCTGCTCCAGACAGGGATGGGTCCTGTCCCTCAGGGCCTAGTTCAAACCCTAGTGTATGGCAAGCATTCAACAAGCAGCTGGCTAAACTGGACCAGAATTTCAAGGACCATCTAGATTACTCAGTGTTCAAAATGGACTTAATTTCTGTGTTTTCTAATCAAATTGCTAGGTATCTTTTTATATCAGGAAAAAAATTAATTTTTAACATTATTTTAAAGGAGAGAAAAAGGATTTTTTTGCAAGATGCTTTCACTTTAAAATATAAATCTTAATGAACAAAGTCACTTATAGACAATGAAATTACTGTCTGAAAGGGAAAACTGAGGGGATCTCATTTAATGAATATATCCGGTAATTGATACATAGTCTAGATCTCTCCCTCTGCTTCAAAGTCTAAAGTCAGGCTTTAAAGATTAATGCTAAGCAAAAATAAATTACACTTTAAAAAGATATAATCTCAAAACACAAAAAGGTGAAGTTCCATTCTAAGAGCAAAATGCTATGGGTCAGTCTTCAACGAGGGGAAGGTACATTTCCAGTGCCCCTGGTTTTCCACTGAGCGTCTGTCATGGGGGTGGTCCGTGAGGAAGAGTGTAGGAAGTAGTTTATGCTGATGAAGACCTGTAATAAATGTCTCACTGCACAACACCCACCCACTCTTCACTCAGGGCTGAGGCCTAAGGAAGTGTCAGATTCGCATATGAGCAGAGGAACAAACCTGGTTCCTGAGAACTCCCTGTCTCAAGGCACTGGAAGTCACTCCTCCCACTCAAGCCATTACGAGTGATGTTCAAAAACAACTGTTCGTTGACATTCTTCTTTGAGAGTCTCTTGTTTACACCTTAGCTGTATCTAACTGCTTTGTAGGACTAAAGTGTTCTGTGCTTAGAACATTCTAGATCTCTGAAGAGCCTTTCCAGTTTTGTGATTTTATGATTCTTTGAATAAGACAAACAAATGAGAAATACATCACGTGGGTTGACCTTATATAAAAAAGACACATGATTCCAAGTACTTAATCTAAAATCTCATTTGCTACTGTGGAGACATACCCAGGCAGTTAAAGTTTCAGTAAACATTTCTTTGGAGAAACAGAGAGCATGTGATTCGTTTTATCCCGCCAAACAACGGCTCTTTGTGTGACAGGTACAGTTTTGCCACTTTCCCAGAACAGCCATGTTAGGCATAACTTGCCAGAGATTTCATAGGCTGAAGTAACAAAAGAAGCAAGAATATATGTAAAGTGCAAATCCAATAGAGCAAAATCAGAGCTATGACGGGGAACCTAGGCAGGAAAAAAGCCAAGTGCTGTTGCCAGTTTCCTTTCCTCACGAATGAAGCCTCAGCTTCTTTTCATGAATGAAGCCTCCATTCCATAAAATGCTTAGCAGACACCCAACACCAGCACACAGCTCCCCATGAGTTACAGAAGACACGCTGTTAAATGAAGAATTTACTGCATTACAGACACACAGTTGGCTTGCTAAGCACTACTTACCAAATTTAAGCATTCACACATGAGCAGGAAAGGGCAGAGCAATGGGTTCCTTGACATATCTGTGGTTTTGATCGCGACTCATCATCAAAGAGGTGTCAAGTGGTTGCTACCCCTGAGTGGCTCTGTGTACTGGGGGACAGCCATGCCAGGAGGGACCTGGCTAGAGTGAAGGGCAGGGTCAAAGGCCACAATGACCCCAGCATGTATGTACATGTGATCCAATGAGGACAATCAAATTCCCGAATGGAATCTGAATCTAGTCCTAGCTCAGAATTCAAGCCGGGTGCCTGACCTACTGTCTCCGTAACACTGCACGCCCCTCTCTGTATGGGCTGTCTGGGTCGTATGGGCCGAGCTCCAAAGTTCAGGAGTGGAAAACAGTGTTTCATTTCTATTGCTCAGTTCCAACACACAGTTCTCTCTTATGTACAACTTAGAAAGTGGCTGCAGGTTTTAGTAATAAATACAAAATATTTGAATATTCCAAATTTAATTCTTTTTCTGAAGCTCTCTCATACAGCAATCACATGACAAAGACTCAGATTAGTTATAAAGTTTTGACTGAAGGCAAGCAAAGGTCGTGTGGAAGGGAGTGAAACGACAGGCGGTCGCTTAGAGTATGGTCACGTGACCGAGTGGGCCGAGGGCCCAGATAATGCTCTCCCATCTCATGGCTGCAGCGCGGGGCACATCTAGTTTGTAGAAGCCCCATCCCCAAGAGCACACTGGTCCATGTCAGGGGTGGAATCCAAGTATGGCTGGTAGTATTTCTCATACTTAGAAAGAAAAGTTATAAAAATCATGAAGGAATAAATTGCTTTCTAGGAAAAAACAAATAGGATTTTGAACACTACTACCACGTCCTCAAGTCAGAGGTGAACATGATATTGTGGAGACAGAACTTTAAGCTAGGGAAGGGCAAGCAATTGGCCTGCTTACCTGCAAAATTTTATTTAATCGGATGAGCCACAAGAGACAAGTGATCTCTTGCTGTTCTGACAGGTGAGGGCCGAATGAGGAGGTATGCAGAGCATACTTGGAATGGGGTACCTGCTTGCCACTCATTTTAATTCCATTTTTACAGGTGAATATAAGATTTTCAAAAAAGGATTCCAATATCGCAAGCTGAGTCAGTACCCACATGAATACTTCACTTTTTCAACTTGGACTGGATTCCCTTAAAATTAGAGTTCTTCAAGTTCATTTTCTAAAGCCCTTTTTCATATTCCCAAAAGAACACAGCACAGGCAGCAGAATTCAGTGCTTCCTGAATATAGTATGAAATATATTCAGGTATGAATGTAGCTTCCAGCTATAGTATGAAAGTGTGCAAGTATTCCAATAAAATACATTAGATAAAATAGCTAGTTTTTAAAGGGAAGGAAAAAACAGCTAGTTTTTAAGGGAAGAAAAATAGAGCAGGACACAATCTCAGCAACAAGTTAAGTTCAAGCTCAGAGGTGATGCCACACACCTCACAGACACTCTAAACAGACAGCGGTTTTGGTTTTGTTGTTTTGTTTGTTCTTAATATCATGAGAGAGGGAGAGCTGTGTCAATGAAACTAAAACAAGGGCTCAGAAAACTCCAACTGAATTAGAAATGATCCAGGCACTGAGGGTCGAAGCTCCGAGTCACGCCATCTACTTGTGTGGTGCCAGTGGCTGCGAGCAGCTTTCTCACAGTATGTACTTCCATGTGGGAAAGAGTGGAGCCAACTGAGACAGACACACAGGGTCATCTCTATTCAATAAGAGCACGGATGGGTGAGACATTATAAGCGGATCATTCTGCAGGCGATTCAAGAAGTCAGCTGGTAAATCCACAGTTTTCCAAATCTCTCAAGTGAAGAGGATTTCTAAGAAACAGAAACACTGAGAACAAACAGTGTAAAAAACATACATTCTGATGAACAGTGGATGAGGGTGAGGGCAGATACAGAGAGAAGAAAAAGATGCTGACCATGTGACTCCATGTGAAGAAAACATGGCAACCACTCTGTAATGACCACAAAGCCCCAAACAGATACTTGCTTCATTTCTCTGACACACAAAGCAACAACGAATAAGAAGTGTTGAAAAATACAAAAATTAACATTTCACACAGAATGTTCAATATACTAAAAACAATGTAGCACAGCCAGACTGTATAAACCATTTGTTAAAAAAATATCTTCTTTTATATTGTATGAACAAGTTGAAAGAGTTCCCGCGTAAGTGCTTACTGACTGCTCACCACGGTATGTGTAGGTAATATGCAAACTCAGGGAGGTTCTTCTCTCTTCTTGCATGTCTGCTTTTCAGCTCCAGTAATGGTTTGGATTAGAACAATAGATTCTTGAGTAAATACTATCTTTCTGATGCTTGGGAGGATCAAGACACTACAGGGGTCATGTCCCACAACTGTCAAAAGAAAACGAAGATAATACAATGAACTAAAATTAAATGGTGTGGAGGATAAATAATCCTTGTAACTGAAATCAAGGCAAATTTTTATAAAACAACTAAATACTGTACTAACATGATTTCTAAATCTATAAAATAGTTTTGTTTTTTTTTTTTTTAAGATTTATTTATTTATTTATACAAGCACTGGGTACAGTCAGAAGTGCGGGAGGGTGAGAGAATTCACCAGAGCCAGAGCGGGGAACAGAATAGGCAGACTGACGAAATACATTACTGAGGGGAGTGGCGGGTGGGGCAGGAGAGATCTGTGTGCCATGTGGGACCCTTGCCATTGGCCAGGGATCGAACCTGTGCTGCAGAGGCTGCGGGCAGCTTCGCAGCCCAGCGCTTAACTGCTGTGCCACCAGGGGAGGCCCTAAAATAGTATTTTTCAATTAAAAGTTCAATGATAAATTTCAAAAAGATGACAATGGTAGTTGGACATTTTATTTTATTTTTATCTGTTACATAAAGTTTTATTATGGACATGCAATTTTCTCCTTATATCAGCAACTTGGCGATATTGCAGCTCACTAGCATTGCTCTTTCTTATTTAGGCAAGCCATGCAATCAACTTTGTGCTTTTTTATTTTATTTTATTTATTTATTATTATTTTTTAATTTTATACATTTTTTACATTATTTTTCATTTTTGCACAATGTATGCATTTTCATCTTGGTTATAGTCCCCACACAATTCCCAACCCCACTTCCCCGCCTTGTTTTGATCCTACTCCCTCTCACTCATAGCAGAAATTTAGAAAACCTAAATAAGGGACCAGGAAAAAGACTAATTATAATAAAGTAAAAATTAGAATCAACAAGCAACTATAAACCAGAGACACACTACAGCGGGGATGGGGTAGTTGGACATTTTAATCCAGTTAATGGAGAATAAAGGCAGATTAGATCATTTGGGGGGGCAAGGAACTGACATATATTAGACAGAAAAGGAGCACCAGGGACATGCCGTGTCCTTTCCACATTTTATCTCATTTAATCTTCCAACCAGTCCCATTAGATGCCTCATTTTCAAAAATACAGTAACAGAGGCTCCAAGAATTTACTTTAAAATTACTCATCGCTACTAAGGCCTGGTAGTTTCCAAAGGGAGTTATTTTAATCGCCTCATTCTACTGCTGATCCCAAGCATGGACCAGAAGGGGCTCAGTGTGTTGCTGAGCCTGTGCCTCTGTGTTTCCCAAGAAATGACACAGGTGCGGCCCTGTCTGTCCTGGGTCTCTGTTATGGTACAGAATCCATGTGGTCACCACTGTCCTTGGAGCACCCCCAGAGGAGTGCTTCTGGATTAATTGATCTCACGGGGAAAAGATCTTGTTTATTACCTGTTGTCTTATTCAAGTCTTACTATTCATTCAACTCAACTCTCACCTCCCCACAAAGCCTTCTCTAGCAGCACCATCTCCTACTGAACTCTTAAAAGTAATTCTGGTCTGTGTTACTCTTGGCCACAGTACATGTGACCTATTATTAACTATCTTTTTAAGAGTGTTCCCAGTAGAATAGCCCTTGCTTGCAGGCTGGTGTGGTATGTCTTATTATGTTGTGGATAGCCAGCTCTTAGCACTGGGCCTTGCATGTAACACATTCTCAAAAACGCTCACTGCCAAGGATAACATTTTGAGTAGACTTCACATAATCTTGGTACTCCTATATATTCACAGGGCCAAAGATAGAAAGCTTCTAAAATAAGATGATGTTCTACAGCAAACTAAAATGCTTCTGCAGAGCAAAGGAAACTATATACAAAATGAAAAGGCAACTTAAAGAATAGGAGACAATATTTGCAAGTCATATAATCTGATACATAATTAATATTAAGATATACAAAGAACCGATACAACTCAGTAACAAAAACAAAAATAAGCAAAAAAAAAAAAAAAGCAAATAATCTGATTTAAAACTGGGCAAAGGACTTGAATAGGTATTTTTCCAAAGAAGATATACAAATGAACAAAAGGCATATACATAGTTTCTCAACATCACTAACCACTAGGGAAATAGAAATTAAAACCAAAATGGGCTACTATCTTATACCTATTAGAAATACCTATTATCAAAAAGACAGGAAATAAGGACTGGTGTGGAGGGTGTGGAGAAAGGAGGGTGTGGTGAAAAAGGAACCCTTGTATACTGTTGGTGGGGATGTAAACTGGTGCTGTCACTATGGAATATAGTAGGAAGGTCTTCAAAAAAATTAAAAATAAAACTACTGAACTAGAACCACATTATCTAGCAATTCCACTTCTGGGTTTTTTATTGAAGGAAATGAAAATACTGAATTGAAATTACACCACTATGGTAACTGCAGCATTATTTACAACAACTAAGACATGGAAGCAACCACGTGCCTACTGATGGATGAATGGCTCAAGAAAATGTGGTATATATGAACAATGGAACATTATTCATTCAGCCATAAAAAAGGAAAATCTTGTCATTTGTGAAAACTGGAGTGTCTTTGAGGACATGCTAAGTGAAATGAGTCAGACAGAGAAAGGCCAATACTGTATGATCTCATTTACACGGGGTAACTGAAAAAATAAAAACAAAAAGAAAAACCACCCAAACTCATAGATACAGAGAATAGATTATTGGTGGTTACCAAATAGAAGAAATGGGTGAAGGGAGTCAAAATGGACAGCATAGTTACTACCAGTAATACTGTATCACATATTTGAAAGTTGCTAAGGGGGTAGATCTTAAAAGTCATCATCACTAAAAAGAAACAAAGGGAAGGTAATGGATGTTAACTAGACTTACTGTGATCACAATATATACAAAAATACTGATAATGATGTTACACGTATGAAACGGATGCTATGTCTATTATAGCTCAATAAAAAATATGTATTGCAGAGTGACAATTAAAAAAAAGCTCCTACCTACCTTAATAACTTTGTCAGTCCCAGCAGTCAGTAACCATCCTCTGGTTGCATCGAAATGCACATGCACGATGTTGTGCTTGCTGTCATGGAAAGTCGCTGTGGGCGCACGTCTGCAAGGAGCACAGAGTTTCCGAGAGTAAAAGGTAGTGGTATGTGAATGAAGGAGATCGAGGGTGACATTTAATGCTAGTGTTTAGTCAAATGGCTACAACTGCCTCTCAGTTCTACCTTTATTCGCTGGTGACCTATTATTAAAACAAAACAAAATCAAAAAAAGCAAACAAAAAAGGCAAAAGAATTCTTCTCTCTCTAAAATGGGAAACAGACAAATGAAATTTCTAAGAATCCTTCTGGAGATTTTGTTGCTCTGATACAGTCTGTGCTTTTGACAATTTTTTTTTTAAATGGTATAATGTTCCCAAGTTTGATCGCAGAAAGAATTGCGTGCAATGACCTTTGCCATTTTATTTTTTTGGAAAAAAAAAAAAAAGCACACTTGTTTAAAATGCCTAAGATTTTACTATTGTCTGCTAGAAGGGCCATTTAGGTCCCCCCCCACCTTTCCCCTGGTTTAATTGCAGACCTGGTTTTCTGTAGCATTCTAATGGTTTAACAAGTTAAACAATATATAGTTAGGCATTGTCAAACATTGTTATTTGTTTTGTGCCTTTTAATCTATGCATGATTTTAGTACGAAATGCAGGTGCTCTAGAGGCAGTGCCAATGCTTTCAGGGAGAGGGCAGGAAACTGCAGTGGGAGGCCCAGCTCTTCCCAAATCATCTTTCCCAGGTCCCCACTCCTCGGTAGCAGGCTCCCTGAAGATGGCTGCTTCCTTCTTTTCTAGAGATCACTCGGTAGAACAGATTTTCAGCATACTAAAGAGCACTTTAAAATATTTAGAATTAGAGATTTGGGTTTAATTTGCAGTTGCTCAGACTTTCTGGGTCTGTGTCTTTTTAAAATGAAGAATTCAACCAGACTATCCCTGAAGCCTTTTGCAGCTCTCTAATTTCACGAGCTGCTTCCATCGTGTGTGAGCGGGAAACAGCCAATGATCATAAAAGCTTCCTCATGCAAGGGCATCTAAATTTATATTTGATATGGATAAATAAGAATAAAAAATGCAAGTTATGGTTATTTATACTGTAAGAGAATGCTCTATTCATTTGCCAAACATTTCCTTTAAATGCTGACCTCCTCTGGAGCATTTAAAATGTTTACATTTACATACAGCTTCTCAGACACCTATCTCGTACTTAAAATGATTCTACTTTATACCAGGTGCTGGGGGTAGGTGGGGATGGAAGGATTAGGCAGACAAGTTTTCTATGAGCCCCTGCTATAATTCACTAATAGCATTTTGTTTACATCTGGGACAGCTTGCAATTTGCTGACACAGACCTGTGCCATCCTGCAAAGCATACACGGGGACAGTACGTGAGGTCCTAGTTACTGGATAAGACTGACAAGCAAGATGGAGTAGTGTTCGTCTCTTAAGCTTAGCTTTTCCTGAAAAAGTGAAACCTGCTAGAGCCTGCAGGTTGATTCAGGTCCTGTAAAGATACCAGCATGGGCCAGAAGGTGAACCTTGGGTTCCCATACTCCAGCCAACTATCAATGAAATGGGGAGACAGTGGTTTTGCAGAACATCTATTTTCAATGCATATAGCACTGGCCCCCGCACAGAGATGAAGGCTTTGCCAACACCCTCTCTTCTCACAAGATAACACAGACTTCCTGATGGGAAGGAAGGCTCTGCTCACTTGCCAAGGTCTGTGTTCCAAACCCATGGTAACTGGGGCACTGCTGGTTATGGCTGCAGGGCTGGGTGCAGCTCTTAGGACACATTCTCTCGTAACCCTGGCGATTCTGCAGATGGTTGGAACTTACTCTTCATCTGTGATGGCCTCGTGGCAGCTGTCACAGACTCTCACTTCAAACTCGAAGCCCATCAGAGGGATGGAGGAGCGCTTGGAGCTGCACTTGCCGCAGACTGCCTTCCCGCACTTGCGGCAGTGGTGCTGGAGGGAGAGAAAAGGAGACTCCTGCTGCAACATCCCCACCCCACCACTCTGGGGAGGCCGAGGGGCAAGCAACAGTGTGCAGGTGAGGATGCTAAACAAGGGTGCTCCAGAAAACGGAAGAAATACACAGCAGGTGAGCTCTCTTTCTGCACTATTTTTGCATCTTGAGGACTGCTAGGAAATATTTGACTGGGTCACATCCCCTTCCCTCACTCTTGGCCCCTTCTAATTCAGCATGAAGTCTAGAGGAAGCACCCAGCACTTGAGTTATCTTAAAGCTAGGTATACTGAGAAAGTGCCAGTTCCAGAGGTTACATGGCTGGATGAAGGAGAATGTGGATGAAATCTGATTCAATCCATTGTCTACACTCTGGCGATGCTCAAGATAGGTGACCACAATTTGACTTCCTGGGAGACAACCAAAGCCAACAACGGAATCAGACTAAAAAAGCTGTATTAAAAGTAGATCAAAATAGGGGCCTCCCTGGTGGCGCAAGGGGCTAAGCCCCAGCACTATGAAGCTATCAGCAGCCACTGCAGCACAAGTTCAATCCCCAGGCAGGGAGCAACCCACATGGCGGAGCAGACCTCTCCTGAGTTGCCCGCTGCTCCCCTCAGCAGTTTATTTCAGTTAATCTGCTTGTTCTGCTCCCCACTCTGTCTCTGGTGAATCCTCTCACCCACCCCCACCCCACACCTATTGCCTACAGCCCAGCTCTTACATGCATGAATAAATAAAATGGATCTTTAAAAAAAAAAAAAAAAGTAGATCTAAACAACAAAAACTAAGATTGGGAGGAAGGAAAGTAAAATCATTTAAGTGGGAATAAATTAACAAGTGCTTTCAGGGTAACTTATCCCAACCAGAATTCCCATGCAGGGGTGCTATCTCTTCTAAGATCACACAGAAAGTTATTTCTACACTATTACATTTTGATGAAGCATCCATTTCACCCACCTGTCTCAGGCCAATTTTCTTACTGTCCCACATTTGCTTGAAGTTCCAGAAAAAAGGCTGATCACACTTTTGGCAGGAATCACTGTCCAACCATTCAGGGGTCTTGTCAAACAAAGCACATAATAGGCCACAGTGAGAAGCAGTGAGGACAATGGAACCACTGACATTGATAAAACAGAAATCAGAATGTGTTTATTAAGTAACAGAGGTGCCATTTATCAACCATTTAAAAAATATTTACTGGGCAAGATAGAACAGTAAAGACACCAGACTCAGCCCCTCCCCAGATACAACACAAGAGTATCTAGAGAGACTGTCCTTGAAAAAAACCAGAGGGCTGGAAGAACTGCATTTTCACAAGAAAGGGAGCTAGAAAACGTCACACAATCCTGCCTGGAACACCACTTGGGCACTCTGACCCAAGAGAGGGAGGGACGGCTGAAATATAGGGTCTCTTTCTGGGGACTGCAGGGCTTACTCTCACGTGGGGGACCCAAGGTCCTGGGAAGTGCATTTGAGAGGGGAACTCACACAGCTAGGTGTGGAAAAGAGGGTCTTCTTCCAGGGCACAAAAGAACTCTGGGGAGCAGAGATTTAGGGTGAAGTGCTAGGGGAGCAGATAGAGGAAGCATATACAGATTTAATGGAGGGGTCTGCATTGGGTGATCCTTAAACTCCAGTGGGGAAATAGGAGGGAGGGATTGTTTTCCAGTGAACACAGATGACTTCCACGGGCTCTCCCTCTGGCTGAGTGGAGCTAGCAAGGGCAAAGGCCATATGTTGTGCAACCATCCTTTAACAGGGTGGGCCCCAGGAAAGGGGGAGGTTCTGGATTTCCTGCCCCACCCAAGGGAGGGTGGAGCTGAATAGGGAGAAGAAGCTGCAGAGGAGACTGAGGAAGGAAGGAAGCAGGATGGAGCCAGGAGACCTGGAGGAGGTACGTGGAGCAGAGAGACACGTGAAGAAACTGCGCTTGCCTTTTGGTCGTGGACTGGGTGACACAGATGTGGGTGAGACCCGTGGGGAGGTGACAATGGCAGCTTTTGTCTTGATTTTGATTTTGCTCTTTTCCTCCCAGACTTTCCTGGTTGTTTCTGATCCTTTTCTGTGGGTCCCCGTCAGAAGGTGCTTTAGACTTGTGGCAGGCTTTTGGGCCTTGCTCTGGGCCAATCCTGCTTGGGTGGAATTTTACCCACGAGGGGACGGGTAACTTTGGGTGCTTGATTTAGAAACTATATTCTTTGCCTTTCCTGTGTTGCTTACTGATTGTATCAAAGTTCCTTTTCATTAAAGTCTCATGTTTTGTGTTGATGCGGCAGATGGCAGAACCTATTTAGAGCAGGCAGGTTTGTGAGGTCTGGGGTGCCCCTCTCCCTGCCCTGTAACAATCCCAGGCTGGTTCATTGTCGATTCTCACAGATGAAAAGAGAATTTTGGAGCCCTTTGTAGAATTTTACAGGTACTTAATGCTGAATCAGGAGACAAACCAGCAGACAGGAAAATAGCAGCGAAGTCCCCTAGACTCAGAGTGACACTGCAGCCCATGCCAAAGCTGAGGAGCCCTTCATCGCTCGCGTCTGGGCACAGGTGTCTGTGTTTACAGATGCGCATGCGCCCACAACCTAGGAGGTGGGCAAGACCACAGGTGGCGGCCACAGAGGCCAAAGGCAGGAGGGCAGAGAAAAGCCTGATTAACTTCAGTTTCCCTACGCCATCCCAGTAGAAATCAACCAGAGAAGAGGGTTAGAGGGTGAAGTATCCTGATCCCTTCACCAGTAATGCCTGAGGCCACTAGACAGCCCCAGACCAAGGGGCAACACTGATTCCCAGCAGGGACTGGCAGTTTGAGCCTACAAGCCCCTGGTGCAAACAGCTGGTATCTGAATCTTCGGGGAAGTCCCTGTTGGTAGAATTTGTGGGGAACAGAAGGCTGCCCACCTGTGGCTCCCTCCAGAGGGCTCACAGGAGAGGTTCTCTTTATGGTTGGCTTCAGAGTTAAGTGAAACACCTGCCCCACTAGTGCCTCGGGCCTTTGCTAATACTTTAACCTACAGAGCTAGCTGCCTCCAATTCGGCTTAACGCCCCCACATTTACATTTGGAGTTTGTGCCTCTGGGAAAAGTTCTGTTTGTGGAAGCTGCTGGAGCAGCCCCCTTCTGTTCCCTCTCAGGTGGCAGCACCTTCCAGGGTCCCAAACTGGACAGCGGACTGAGAGAGGTCTGCAAGTGGCGTTGTTTTCTATCACTGGCACTCAAAGGCCTTGAGAAATGTCTGCCTCTCACCCTCCTGTCACCATTATTGGGAACTGCAGCCTAATCCTGTAGCTTCCAGAATGTTCTGCTCCTGCCCATGCCTCTGGGAAAAATTAGGTTTGCAGAACCTTGTGATCAGAGTCTGGCTGTGGTTGAGGGGTCAATGTTTGCCTGAGGCTGTGAGGAAAGCTGTGATGAAGGAACTGAGGAGAGGTGAGTTGCAAATTTCCACTTAGGGACCCACAGCCTCTAGGGAGGCTTGAGCTCTTGGTATTCTTTAGCTGCATACTCTGTTTTCCACTGCTCCATCTTGTACCCTGTGCTGGCACCAGAGCCCCCAGCACCCACAGATGCAGAGGTTTCATTCTAGAAAGCAAAAGATAGCCCAGTATCTCTGGCCAACAGTCTAGGACTAAATCCTATAACCTGGAATCTTAACAGAAGGCCAACGCATCAAGATAAGAAAGAAAGCTGTGGAGCTTAACCCACAGAAATGAACAGACTATGAAATAAAATGAAGAAAAAGAAATGCACCCCAAATGATGGCACAAAGCAAAACCCAGTGCAAAAAATTCTTAATGCAATAGCAGTAGGTAATATACCTGAAGAGTCAAAGTAACAGCCCTAAGGATGCTCACTGAAATGAGAACTGAGCTATATGTATGTGTATATGGACTAACAGTATAAATACATGTTTAACCTACAGGATGTCAGCCACTCATGGTCTTCATCTCTCCACCCTTCTGCTGAAGCCTCTTTTCTCTGGCTGCCCCTACAGTCCAGTGCTAATGCTGAGTGTCACCTTGCCTGTTCATCTGGTCTTTACTCTTGGCATTTCTTGTCCTGGTCAGAGCACATCTGGCCCTTCAATCTCTCCACACTATGTTCTTCCACAAATCTTTTGCTTCAGCATTAGCCAACAATGACAACGCCCTTTCTGAAATATCCAGTGCTAATACTCTATCTTACGTAGATTGTAACCAAATCATTTATACTATTTAATGCTTTTTGAGGCTTTTCTCCCATAGGTCTTTTTTCTAGAAAACCTGCCAGCCTTCAGGGCAGGCACTGAACCCTTACCTGTGTCAGACCTCTGGAGGTGAGCACTGTACAGCACTTGCCATATTCAGGAAGCAGCTTCAAAGACCCACCTCAGGGGTTTATGTGGATAAGATACTACATTATGAACACCACCCATTTAGAGCTAGGAATCACTCAAGAGTCCAGTAAGCTGGTACTCAGTGTCAATATCCTTGTGTTTCAAAAGCATAATTTGAGCAAGATGGCTCAGAGGACTGCCTAACCAACCTCCTGGCATTGTATCTGGAAACCACATCTTTATCGTCCTTTGGGCTTTTGTCCATCAAGGGTGGAGGTTGTGTACTGAGGGAAAAGGGCCACTGGCCCCTTTCTCCCTTGGTCTGGTAGGTTAGGCTAGGAAGAGGTCAGGACAGGGCAGGTGTGGCTGACCTGCACTCAGAACAGTCTATGGTGCAGAACCACTACTCGCATGGGCAGCTGGGGTTACGGCCTGAACACTGTACCAGTTTCCCTGCCTTTATACTGATAGGGCCAAGTGACACTTTCAAAGCAATATTCTGCAGTTCCCCACTTCCTAACAGTAAAGATAATTTTAATTAGTTACTAATAGAACTCCCAGGGATTTATGGTTTGAGCAAATCAAGCTTTAATCTTCTTAAGCATTTAATTACTGGCATTTGAAAGGCATTACATTGTGGGTAATAGCAATGACTCTCTTGAAATGAGATTGGGGAGAGGGCATGGAAAGAAGTTGGGAAATCGGTTTTGTCTTTTTATAGTGTTGCTTTTATAATTCTGGCATCCTGCAAGGAAATAAATGAGAAGAATATATACTATCGAAGGGAAAGTTTACCCAGCATAATACTAGGAAAATGAGAAAATGGTTAACTTTGAAGTACTTGTCAAGGGGATATTCAGTAAACATGTGAGTTGTTAAGATTCTCAAAGATGAAGAAGAAAGTTCATAAGAAAAAGGATGCTATGACAAAACTAAATATATGCTTAAAAATGGCTATATGTATCTGGAGAACTGTTTAGAACATGACTCATAAAGACAAAAATAATTATTTCTAATATTTCTATTATTATTAAAGATCCTTACTTTTATCAAATATCATTCCTGGCACACAAGCCACCATTTCCCTCACTAACATAAAATACACAAGTTTTGGTTTTAACGGCATTTTATAGAAAAGGGCTAATCTCCTGAAAATAGACGGTTCCTTTTTCTCAGCTGAACTTTTGTTGTGAATGATACAACACATTTAAAATCTTAGTCTCACTTGCAATTCTTCTAATATCTCCATTACCTGAATGTGACACACCAATTTGTGAGGGATTAAAAAAATTTGGAAAAAGGGCCTAGGGCCTCCCCTGGTGGCGCAGCAGTTGAGTGCTGGACTGCAAAGCTGCCCACAGCCTCAGCAGCACCGGTTCGATCCCCGGCCACTGGCGAGGGTCTCACATGGTGCGCAGACCTCTCCTGCCGTGCCCGCTGCTCTCCTCAGCAGTGTATTTTGTCAGTCTGCCTGTTCTGTCCCCCGCCCTGTCTCTGGTGAATCCTCTCACCCTCCCACGCTTCTGACTGTACCCAGTGCTTGTATAAATAAATAAATAAACAAACAAACAAACAAATAAATAAATAATTCTTAAAAAAAATAAAAAAAATAAAAAATTTGGAAATGATGTCTTAGTTTGTGGTTTAATCATAAAAGAAGTAAGAAATGAGCAGGAGGGCAGTCTCCGTAGAGCCAAGTCCAGCGGCTGTGAGGGAGCAGCCCCCAGACTACCTGTCACCTACCTCCTGCCTCTCCACATCCATGTTCCAGACGACAATCCCACCGTCAACCCCACAGGAGATGAGCTGCCGCGTGTGCTGCGCATAAGAGAGAGCCTGGACTTTGTCACTGTGAAAGAAACCAAGGGTTGTGACAGTTCAGAAGAGCAAATGAAAGCACCACAGTAGGAAGCCCAATGACAATGAATGCACACGTGTACCCCAACCCCCAAGTGCAGATCTTAGAAGCAGGATGGAACTGTCAGCATACTACCAATCAGAAGAGTACTCCAGATTTAAAAAAAATCAAAATGCTAATTGAGGCTTCAGGAGGAGGTAGTCTTTGTCAGTCACCAACACTCAAGAGATAAAGCTTGTTGCTGAACCTGTTGTAACATCTTATTGGTGCTTTCCTTAAGTCAAGTCTTTTGCCTTGCGTTTGTTACATTTGTTCAAGAATCATGATATTACCTTTTAAAAATATACTTTAAAGTTTTGGGGGTCAGCCATGGAAACGCTCACTTGACTTACTTGACAGGTAAGCTGTCTTCTGAGGTGGGGAGCCTACACATGTCATTTCTCAGCTCCCAGAGAGAATCCAAAACAGCAATAGAGGTCCATTGACTCTATTTCTCTAGTCTGCATCCTCTCCCCACTGATTTTGTGTTTTATTTTCTTTCTTGTTCATACATGGCTGACAACTTATTCCCTCTTGGTGGCAGCCATGATGGAGAATTCAGTTTTATGGTCAATTATTGAAGATTAGAAAAAGATTACAGAGATCTCTTCTCCACTGGGTAAAAGAGAAGAGGAAATCTGGTTTCTAGGTTGTTTTTGTCTGAATATTTTTCTACTTTTGAGTTTAACTAAATTAAAAATTCTGTGCTCACTGGGAGGGAGAATAGCTCTTTGAAATCTGTACTGCTGACTTTTTGTGGAAGAAGTGTGATCTTTTGACCTGTGACAGACATTGTAGAACTGAAGCTATTAAGCTTGATATGTTTGTGTCCACAAGTCACATAATACACAATACACATGTGTGTGTATTGAATATTTTCAATTTCCAGAGGGTATCAATAAACTAGATTATAGCACCTTTTAAAATTTTAAGAAATTGCTTTTGTTTGGCTTATAAAAAAGTGGTTATGTAAACTAAATATTTCTAAACATCATAGAAAATAAGAAAACATGAAATTTACTAAATTTAAAAATTTCACTAAAGTGTAAAATTGTTTTAGAATATGAAAGAGAAGAATAAAGGACAAATTTGGAAAATAAACTGTATTTGCTTTGTCTGAAAAAAAGCTATAAATTCTGGCATATTTTCCTTTTTCTTTATTTACTGATTAGTGTCTTTGATGACAATGCAAAAGCGTATTCTTCTCCTTCAATGGAATTTGCTTAGCAGAGATTTGGTGTCTCACCAGGATTATTTCCAGAGCTTTATGTTGGCTTAAAGTCTCTTAAACTCCTTTAACAATTCTTTTGGTTTTGTCTTTCCAGCCTGAACTTTATATTTTGAAAAATATTAAAATTTTAAAATACTATAGGTAAAATGTTATTATTTCTGAAATTATATGTTTTATGGGAAGACCTTGGCGATTCGCCCATGCTTTCATTGTCTATAATATGTTCTTATTCTTGGGGGAAATACTAATCAAATCTCATAGGAAATAATGATGTTGGGTATCTCAACAGAGAATTTTACTCTTCTCTATTCTTATTTATTTTACTGCAATTATAACAGTAAAAATTAAAGCCTCTATAATCTATAAATAACTTTTATTACTCTGATACTTGACTGAAGGCTCTGTTATAAAAAGCTACAGGGCAGAAAGGACAATATCAGAGTTCATGAAAAAGGACTGCCTGTACAAGATATTTTAAAATGTTGATATTTCAAAGACCAAATTCTTGAGCAAAGGGTACCAGGCTGACATTGCTGAGACACTTTAAAATGTGCTAGTCAGGACTTCCTTGGATTTTTGGACTCTTTAGTCTAGATGCAGATGACTGAATGAATACGGACTGCAAGCCAGAAACCAGTAAAACAAGAATAAATCACACAGAACTGAATGAACAGGGAAAATTTATGGTGGTTATTTATCTGAAATGTTGTTGACGTTGTTTTTAATGTTTTGTTTTCTGGATATACGAGGATGCCTTTTTCTTACCTTTTCAACACTATCTCTAACCTACAATTTTGTAAACTGCCTTTATAAACTAAATTGAAACATTTACAAATTATGTCCAATATTTACTTAACCCTCAGAATATAACTCTTAGCCCCATTAATAGTCATAATACATTTGCATAGGCTCAATTAGAATCTATCCACAGGACTAAATAGGCAAATCAATTAAACAAGTAAGTCAGCCCTTACCTGAAGTGTCAATTTGAGAATGATGCTGCTAACTGAATCAGATAGGACTAGTGACTTTTAAGAATTCACGAAGCCATTGGCTACCAAGCCCTCCCAGGAAAACTGACCTAATACCTGGTTTGCAGGATCCTGCCTTACAGTAAGGCCAGGTAAGGAAGCTACCAGACCAGGAAACTAGCACATATTCAGAAACTAGAGGAATTCAACCAGGCTTATAAGTAGGTCAAATATGGTGGAATTTCTTGGGCTTGGTTTCCTAGCCTTGAGCTTTGAAAAATCCAATGCAAGATTCTTTATAAAAACATCCAGACAGAGGTTAAATTTTATCACTTTCATAGTTGTTTATTTGTGAGTGGCTCTCTACTGGCAAAACAAATCCAAGAAGGCCTTTTTTTCTGTGATCAAGAAGTCTTTTTTGACATTATTATAACTACAGTAATAAGGAGAAACATCAGGTGGACTATGAAGATTTTGAAATGGGCCAAAAGAAAGGTATCTTTTCTAAGGAATGTTAGGTGTTGTCTAGCACATCCTTCTGAGTTATCTGATTCTATGGGCCTTTTTGCCTTTCCACATCTTTAACTTAGTTATTTTATAAGTCTGTGGGTTACAAAGGCTGATATTATTGCAAAAGAATCTTGCCAGTGAAGATGCATGGCCCACCCTCCCATGGAAAAATCCAATTGTGAATTAATTCACTTACAAATTCATTTCAGCATTCTCTAGTACCTGTGCATGTGTCTAGTCTTTGACTTTCCTTGGAGCTACTTGTCAGCTTACCAGTTCCGTTACTAATTAATGACTAATATAAAATCCTTGACAGCTATTCATTTTTTAAAAATCAATTGTTTCTCTCTCCTGGTTGTTATTTTATACATTTGAAAGTATGGAGCGCCACCAATTCTCATATTCAGGGGCAGAAGGAAAATCTATTTCGTTGAACTGACTCATAACCCTGTGATTTGAACTACATTTCATTTGTTAAGGCACCTTGATACATATCAATGATCTTGTAAAACCAAAATAAGTTACAGAAAGAACTGCTTTGCCACACATAGCTGGCAGCAACTCACAGCAACAAATACATAATTTATGGGACTCCAGTTCTGTTAATATTCCAACACAGAAGAGTAAAACACAGTGATGAATGCTGGATTCTAAGCTTTGTAATAAAGCTGTTCAAGGACTTCTTGATTTAAGGATTCAAAGTATAACTACCTTGCAGTTAAAAACTAGGTGAGGGACTATTCCTGGGTTCACAGATTAGAGTTATAAAGAATAAAGGAAACCTTCTTGCATTCATGTTTCATCTGACATCACTAGAGCATTTACAGTAGAAGGTATTTCAGAGCTGGTTATTATTATTTCATGGATGAGTACACCACGTCCTGCATTGCAAATGTTCTTATGAGCACACAAAAACCCCACTTTTCACAACCACCAGGACCTGCCATCTACAAAGACTACACTTAGCGGGATGGCCTCATTTCCTTTCTCATCAGCCCTAGAGGCAATATATGTCCAACCAGGCTCAGCAACATAATCCAGGAGGCCCAATGCAAAATGAAAATACAGGGTCCCTTGCTAAAGATTCATTAAGAATTACAAGATGATGACAGCCCAAGTGCGGGGTCTTCTCTGCATGTGTGTGTGCGCAGGGAGCAGTGCCCATGAAGCCTGACACCCCTTATGGAAAAAGAGTACAGAAGTCTTTTTGCTCCTTATAGAAATAGATTTTCAGACACGGGCTAACATCTGCCCAAACGTTAACTTAGGTCCTCTTCCATCCCCTAAGAGTAGGAGGGACTTCAGTGTATAGTATCTTTTGTTCGTTTGATGAAAAATCCTAGTATACATGCTAAAAACCAATCAGCTGTGCATCTGCTACCAGAGATCTCGCTCTCTAAGTCCAGAATGCCCACATTGGTAGCTCTTCCAAACCTCCGGGACCAGAGAAAGCTGCTGCTGAGTCATCCACACAGGTCTTCCAAATGACTGATGCCTAGGGCTATCCCATGCTGAGAGGATCTGACAAGGATTTGCCTCCCCAAGGGCCCTTTGACCCTTGAAACCAGAGTCTTCTGTCTGGGAACACTGGTTTTAGCACCACTTTGCTGTTTGCTGGCCAGGGTGGAAGTTCATATTAGCCTCTGTCCTCTGTCCACTTGCAATTTCCTGAAATTTACTTCATGCAGTTCTGTTTTTTTTTTTCCCTACTTTTTTTAAAAATTATTTATTTTTTTTAAAAAAAGATTTATTTATTTATATGAGCACTGGGTACAGTCAGAAGTGCGGGAGGGTGAGAGAATTCACCAGAGCCAGAGTGGGGAGCAGAGCAGGCAGAAGGACCGAAGTACACCGCTGAGGGGAGCAGCGGGTGGCAGGAGAGGTCTGCGCGCCATGTGGGACCCTCCTCTGGTGGCCGGGGAGCAGCTGGGGATTGAACCGGCGCTGCAGAGGCTGCGGGCAGCTTCGCAACCCAGTGCTCAACCGCTGCGCCACCGGGGAGGCCCTCAATGTTATTTTTTTTTAAGATTTATTTATTTATGCAAGCACTGGGGTACAGGTCAGAAGCGCAGGTGGGTGAAAGAATTCACCAGAGACAGAGCAGGTAGAAGGACCAAAGTACACTGCTCAGGAGAGCAGTAGGTGTGACAGGAGAGGTCTGCCTCACCATGTGGGAATCTCCCTGGCCAGCAGGGAATTGAATCGGTGCTGCAGAGGCTGCGGACAGCTTCACAGCGCTGTGCTCAACCCGCTGCACGACTAGGGAAGCCCCTCTCCCAATGTATATTTATATATAAAGAGCTATTTCTTTATCAAAAGGTTTTAAGGATGCTTATAAAAAAAAGTCTTTCATGTGGTAAGAGTAGGAAGAGAGAAACACAGTTTTGACCGAGCACCTGTGGATTCCTGCCTCAGTGGAGGGGGCCCGTCACACAGGATGGCAAAGACCTTGCTTTTACCTGAGTGCCAAATCAAGTTACCATCTAAATGGCCAAAAAGGCCTACAAGCCTAAGAAAACACATAAGAAAAATTATGGTCATAAAGTTGGTTATGAAATGATAGGTATTATTTAAGAAGAAAAAAGGATCTAAAATGCCAAAGTACCATTATTAGATTTAACAAGGTGGGTGTGGGACAATAAATGGTCACATTTTTGCTTCTATAATATCCAATAAACTGGTAACTGATACTTGAAAAATAGAACTGGTCCCTGAAATTGGAACCTTTTCTTTGCCTTTCCTTCTACAGAGCTAACACATAATCATGTTCCACCTGCTGCAGGGAATAAAAACACCAAAATACTTCAAGTGCAGATAATACTGTATAGAGGTTTACTTTCTGAGCTTTTTCCCTCTGGACTTGGACACATTCTCACTGCCATCAATCACGCTCCATAGTAGGAAAGCTTTCTGCTGTGGGATTATTCTACACCAAATCAAACTAGTTACAAAAATATCTTATATCTGCAGTGAAGGAGGGTATGGCACTGCAGAGCCCAGACAGCAGACTTGGGGAGCTGACCCTCCACACAATGAAGGCTTCCAGGGGAAGGCTGTCTCCCTACCCTAAGTGGCAGGGATCTCAGGTTCAATCTGTTCTCCCAAGTTCCCAAGCTCACCAATCTTGTCCCTGATTTGGAACTCTGACCACCATTTATCACCTTGGCAGGAGTTGGGAAAATCAGGAATTGTAGGAGAGCAAAGTGGAAAGCCTCAGGGCCCAAGCAGAAACTCTTCAGCCTCTAGAGAAGAAAAGAGACAGAAAACACCCTGGAGCCTGGAGGGGATCATGGGTTAGTCAATGTACATTTTTGTATCCCCAGTGCCCAGGCCAGCACTACAAAGGTCTCTGTTGCACTAAGGTTTGGGAGACCTAAGCTGTCAGCCGAGGTCTTTAAGGATGGTATTTCAGTCATCTCAAGCAAAAAATAATTATCTGATCTCTTTATTTTTAGATGAAATTGAGGTGTCTCTCTTTTGACAAAATATTATGCAGTATTCAAATATAATAACCACTGAAGACCCATCCAGTGGTGAATTTTCAGGGCTAAGGAATGGTTGCCGAGAAAAAGTGGGTCTTATGACTTCTCCTCTCCTGCCTGGTGCCCTGGCTCCTTCTGTCCTGAAACTCCTTTCCATCCTCCTTTCAGCCGCTCCAGTGCCTCTCCCTACCCCACACCAGCATTCACATCTCAGCAGTGACACCAGCTGAGGGTGTTTACTTCTTTGAATTCTGGAACACCAGAGGCAACCCTCTCAGGCTAACTACTTAGGAGAATATTTTAAAACTAGTATTTCAGGCACATTTACAGGAAGAGCTAATGTTGCTTAAAGCCAAAAGGTTCTGGAAGCATCACTGACATCTGTTTATGGCTGTCTACAGTCACTCTACACAGCACTGTGAAAACTTCACAAGTTAAATAAAACAATTTAGATGAGCTTTAGCGTTCTAAAGCAGGTATCAAATTGTGTCAGCAACACCATCAGGCCTTGCCTCTGGGGCTGTGGGCAAATCAGATGTGGTCTGAGGGTCGTCAGCACAGACTAGGAGGTTGTCTGGACACACACACCCTCAGCTCAGAAGACAGGGCCCAAGAATCTACTTTTTAATCAAACTCCTCGGGCACTCTGTGCACTGCTAAGTTTTAGAAGTGTTCTAAAGAAAGACAAAGGTTTCTTTACTCTTCCTCTTAGCCCTTGAAATCTATCTCTCAAAGAAGAAAAGTATGATACGAATCAAGGCGAGTACTCAAAAAATATTTGGTGAAGTACAAAATGTACTCGGCAAGGATATTACTCTCCCCTTTTCCTTAAGCTGCCAGGAATCTTGAAGTCACATTTGAACTCAATTATAAAAAGTCTGTAGGTCTTTTTGGCTTGTACTTTTTAAGTTTTCTCTCTAAGTATTATTCTTATGTTCTCCCTGGTTCTAATTTTTACCTATTTGCTGTCATTACTTTATTTTATGGGTTTTGTGAGTACTCCCAAATCCTCTGTGGAATAAAATGGGTATCAATAAATAAAAGTAGTTAGGTATGGGTACACATCGGAGAGGCTGTTACTGGTGTTCCTGCTCTGTTCCTCCCCACGCTGCCATCCCCGGGAAGTGGACCACATTCCTGTCCTGTCCCAGCTTTCAGCCAGGAATCCTTTCCCAGAGTTCTTTATAAAAGCACCAGCGGCCTTACTTGTGTCCTTGGAGCTCGATGGCTGTTCCTTTTCTCCCGCCGATGTCCCACATGATAACAGAGTGATCTGAGCTGCCCGAGAACAGCACTCGCTGAACGGGGTCCCAACACAGAGCAGTCACCCCACCTGACAGAACAGACACAGCTGGACATTAGGCGTAATAACAGTATGATTCACTCATAAATGTGAATGTAAAGAATTGGGATCTAGTGCAGTTTTGGGCATACAACAACTCCGTATTGAAAGAATAAACATTTAAGCCCCTAAAGAGAAATTAATTGGCTCTAAGAATAAAAGTCCCACCCTTTAAGTGTTCCCTCCAAATTTAATGAACCATAAAATCAATTACTATAAAAACCAAAGGGAAATGAAAAAGGCAATTAATTGATCTCCAAACAACAGGCATACTTCTTAGAACAACAGAATATACTGTACTGTTTAGAAATAGTAACCATATTATCTGAACTGCTGTCTTCTACTTCCCACCCTGGCAACAACGAAGGTAAACGGGGATTTAAAAAGCATTAAAAAATTAAAGACCTCAATCAGATTTTTTATTCTTGCACATCAGATATAATTAAACTACATCAGACTTTAAAATAGATTTTCCCTCTTTGGGAATTTCAATGTACAGAATCCTGGCAAATTACAGCCTTGTCTCCTCCACTATAAAATGGGGGCAAAAGTAGTGTGACAACTACCGCAAGTGGTAGTTGCACTGCTGCCGCTACTGGTACTGCTAACATTCCAATGACACTGCAGCCCCGCCGTCACCGGTGTCCCAGGCTGTGGTAACAATCCGATCAGACCAACGAACACCAACGCTGTGAACCACAGTGAGCACTGCAGAGGTGGGTGGGCTGCTGGCATTACCCTAGTGTGGCTATAAACTACCATGACACATTTTCCTCTCCGGCAGTCCCCTTATAAATCAAACTTGTGTGCTGAGAACAATCATAACTTTTCCCATATAAGATGAATACAAAGCCTATCCTTACTATCGAATGTGAGAAATACTCAGTTTTTACATTATTGAAAAATAATGTATTCTGAAAAGAACAATCAATAGCTTCTTATTTGTTGGAATCTTTTTATTTAGATTATCAATTTGTTGTAATGAAGCGCTGTATTTTAAAGCTGTTAGGAAAGTTTCTCTCCTAAATGTCTCAGAAGATTATTTTCCGGGATAAAAAGAAGGGAAACCTACCCTGTGGATTAAGCAAACAGCTCCTTCTTCTCCCTGTACACATTCTGCTGGCACATATCCCTGTCCTTGTAAGAAACACGATTTCCCCAGTGCACACGGTGACTGCCCCTGAGGTTCCCAGCTCCTTTCCTCACCAGTCCGCCCCCTCTATAATAAATAGCATGAGGATTTAGTGTTTGGTGAATGAATGAAGGAGCAGATGAATGAAAACACAAATTGTTTTTATTCATAAGTCTTGTTTCATTCACTGAGCCCTTCAAAGCCAAGTATTTTCTTTTCTGTGGAATTCATCTTCTTTCCTAGCTATTACATTTTATGATTATACTTTAAAAAATCATCATTCAGTATTTGAGAACATAATACTTCAGGATATGCATTCCATCCTGCAAATGTTACTTATTTCCACACAATGCCCAAATGGCTTACTTTTTAAAACATCGGTAACAGAGTTAGCTAACAACCTAAATTCATATTCCCCTTTCCATAGATGGAGTGCTCCCCAGAAAACTGCTGTTCTGTAGGGACCACATTTACCACTCCCTCTTATATTAGGGACATGTGCCCGGTTTCAGCTATGGGACCCAGCAAGTATATGAAACAGATTGCATCGCATTGAGGTCAAGGCAGTTAAGATGCTCCCATTCCACTTTCTCTTTACACTTCCTCCAAGAATGGAAAAATTACATTTGAGAAGGAGCCTGGGACCCTGAATAACCATGTGGAAAAGAACTGTAAATCAGGAACATCGCACTGGGTTGCACATGAGTGAGAAATAAACATCTGCTGCATTAAGTCACTGAAATGCTGCAGGTGATTTGTTGCAGTTAGTGTTCCCTGTTATGTGATATATTTACCAGACTACTATAATAAGGTTGGCTCCAACAAGAAGGAAGAGTTATTCAAAACTTCATAAATCAGAGAAGTGAAAAGAAGTTACTAGTTTAGACTAAAAGTACTGATGCCTATTATTCAAACAGAACCGGAGAACTGGTGCATTAGAAAACTGTTGCATTATTAGCCTCTAAACTAATACATTATCAACTCCGAATTAGTTGGTTACCCCCCCCCCAAATAGATCTAGAATCTAGGCATTTCTCCTCACTTCTATTGTTATGATCCTCGTATGAGCCACTATCTAAAATCTTGGTTGGAAAGTTAAAAAGTGTGATACACATATTGTCTTAAAGGCATGGGAAAATGGGCACTCCCACACGTTGCTATGGAAATGCAGACCAGTGAAATGAGAAAGGCCACATGCAACAAAGTTACCTATGCATGACACTGTCCCTACTCATACCAAATAACACAAAAATACACATGGACAAGGCTGTTCATTTCACCATTGTGTCAGACTACAAAATACTAGGAACAACCTAAATGTCACATAGACTGGTGAGTCAACGGTGATATACTCATACAGAGCGCTGTGCAGACATCATGAGATCAATTCAAGTTTCAGAGATAAGACAAAGCTCTAGTGTCCATACATTACTTCAGGTTGTAAGAGGCCAGAGCCAGAAAGGGGAGATACTGGTAATACAAAGTCAGGAAAAGAAAACAGACAAACAGGTTAAAGCAAGTCAAGGTATATTCATCACATCTAGTGAGGGCTCAGCCTTAATTGATGCTTCAGTAGGAGCGAAAAAGTTGAAAGCAAAAGCTGCAAGACAGGGACATAGGATGGGACTAGGGAGGGAAACATAACTTTGGGGCGCCATCCCTGCTCACCAAATATGTGTAGTTGGGGATGCTATATATGTATGTATAAATGTTTTAACAATGTGGTCTCTTGAAGGCTATCGTATAAACTGTTAGACACAGCATTCAACAAATCAGTTCAACAAACATGCACTGAGCATCTTCTATCAATATATGGCAGGCACCATACTAGGCTCTGTTGATACAAACAAATCAATAAGACTGCTGACACCAACACAAATGTACAACATGGAATTATTGCATAGTTCTGAAGACAAGGAAGGCATGCACATTGTGTTTGGTGGGGCCATTCTTTCACAGGACAGGTGGCTACTCCCTCTGCCTGGTGTGCCAGTTTTACCCTGATCACCCAAGTAACTTCTTCTCCCTCTTCAAGGTGCAACTCAGACTCTTCTCCAGAGGCAGGAAGCCTTCCCAACACTGTCAACCCAGGTGAGGTTCCCACCTCTCGGTATCTCTAGTGCCTGACACTCATCCTTGTGTCAGACCTTATTGGTAGACTTCAAGTTCCTTATCTTTGTATTCAAGCACAGTAGAGTGCTTTACTCACAATAGGTGCTCAATAAATATGTACTCCATTGTCCTGTTGACTGGAATGTTAGGACAATAACAAGAGAAATAAACCATCACTATAGAGACATCAGGCAAAGCTCTGGGGCTGGGGGGCCAGTGGAAGGCAGAGCAGTGAGACCTGAAGGGGTACAGAGAGAAGAAGAGAGCTTCTGATTGAACAGCTTTTTTCTACCGAAGTGGCTGTCCCACATCTGCCGGCAGATAGAGCTTCCTGATAAACAGTAGTCTTTTCCACTGGTCACTTCCGGCAGCAGGGCAAGGCAGGCATCTCCAGCGAGCCCGCATTCCAGAACAGTGCAGACACATGCACCTCACACTCCGAAAACCCTCCTCGCCCTGCATAACTGGGTCAGAGAACAACAGCTATAACAGGTGTGGGTTTCCAGGGTTCATGACATTTTAAAAGGCAAAGAAATTCTCCCATTTAGTTTCTTCATTTCAGACTACTCCATTTTTCTGCTTTTCCTCAGTGTTTCATTTTATGCTTCTCCCTGCCTTCAATCTCCACAGGACCTATAAATAATCTGTACCATAAATGAATTCATTTTTAAAAATAAATGTTCTTATAATTACAAAATTTATCTGTAATATGATATACACTCAAATGTAATTTTTTTTAAAAAGATTTATTTATACAAGAATTGGGGTATAGGCATGGGAGGATGAGAGAATTCCCCAAAGAGAGAGTGGGGAGCAGAACAGGCAGACAATTGAAAACACTGCTGAGGGGAGCAGCGGCAAGACAGGAGAGGTCTGCCGTGCCATGTGGGTATCTCCCTGGCCGGCCAGGAATTGAACCTGTGCTGCAGAGGCTGCGGACAGCTCCATAGCACTGCGCTCAACCCACTGTGCCACCGGAGAGGCCCATATGTAATTTTTAATAGTTGTACAGTATCCCAATATATAGATGTACCTTATTTCACTTGTTGGATTTTTTTCAGCTTTAAACTATTATAATTTTTGCTAAGATAATTTTTATTTATATATAAAACTTTATTCACATTTTTGATTAACTAGAAGAAATTTCCAAATATGGAACTGGATCAAAGAATATAAATATTTTTAGAAATTTAAAATGTGTTACTGAAATGCTTAGTAAACTAATTTTTTACTTTTACAGCATAGCCTGTAAAAGCTAGAGACTATGCAGAATGTTCCAAATCAGGGTAGGAAACTGCTGGGTTTGTGTTTCCCATAGTGTTTTGGTAACTCACCAAGATTACTGTATCACACCTTACCAGATGAAGGTGTGTAAGCTAAACGTGAGCCAACTATGTAAGTCCTCAGAGCATGAAGTCTCCTGAATAAAATACCTGGCCTTTTTGGTTACTGTGTGTGTGCGAGGTTGAAGAGATAAATGTTTCTGTAAAGCTACAATAAATTCGTGCTTTCTCTGTAGGCGACACCTTCCTCCTGAGGTCTACAAACAGACCTCTAGCCTTCTTGCCACCTCCCCAGTGACTGATGTCTCTTGGTCATGTTCAGTTTAAAGCAGCCTGATGGGGCCTCCCTGGGGGTGCAAGGGGTTAAGATGCAACCTATGAAGCTATCCACAGCAACTGCAGCATGAGTTTGAGCCCCAGCCAGCCAGGGAGCTACCCACATGGCGCAGCAGACCTCTACTGTC